AGTTTTCAAAATGAGATGTTAAAATATTTTAAACTACTAACATGCTACTATTAATTTTTTGTTGTTGTAAGACGATAATTGAAGAACCTCTTCTGAATCAGCCTTAAACAGTCTGGGCTCTTTGGGGTCAGGGTGAAAGGAAGCGGCAACAAGCCACCCCCTCAGCCCAGGCTTCCCTTTGGAAACCTTCAAAGAACAGTCAACACCATGAAGTAAAAATGCGATTGGCATCATTTGCTCTTTCTCTACATGGGATGTAGAACTCCAGGCATATACTTAGCCTAAGCAGATTTTTAAATATCTTTTCTAAGCACTTGAGAAACATTCCCGAATGAGATTCACTCCATATTCATATTTAAATAACCATTGAAATTGGATGCCTAGCTGATTCCACGCAAGGAGTTCCATGCCAGAATCTCGAGGTTTTTCCTATTTGTTTAAAATAGGGAACTTAGTTTATTACAAAAGTAATATATAGTTTCCCAGAAGACTTTATTTTTTTATTATAAAAGTAACATAATTCCCCAAAAGACCACAGAGCTATAAAAAAATATATGAAAATATAAAACGCACTCTTAGTTAACAGTTTGACGTATATTACTCTTAAAAACCATTAAATAAATAATATATTTAGAAAGATGTCGCCAGATATTTTGCCAACAACTATTCATAAAAATGCATTGAACAGAGAGTAATATAAAAATTGATTAGCAAGCCCAAGTAAAGAGCAGTGCTGCCACTATAAGAAGGCTGTCACAAGATAAACTGAACAGAAGTTCGGTCGTTGTCCAGCTTTCCTGAAATTCTATGAGAGCCACTTCTGAGTGGGTCAGTGGGTGAGGCCACGAGGGGCAGCTGGCCACAGGCGAGGCATTGGGCAGACCAGTGTGAACCAGCTGCCAGATATAGATACCTTTTCCGGAACGTCAGCAGGGGATGGGATGCTGCGGGTTTAATTTTGCTTCTAAGCTCACCTTGGCCTCCCTCCAACTTCCAGGCTAGCAGAGCACATCTGTGAGAACGAATGCAATGTTCTAGACCATAGGAAGAGGAAAAGCAGGAATTTAAGCACATACCAACATAAGTAACCACAGTTGTGAGGCTGACGGTGGCATACTCCTTCAGGTTTGGAAGAGGAGAGGGGCCTGATGGTCAGCCTCAGGCTGTCTCGAGTAGGGGATGTTCCAGTCTACAGGTTGTCCTCTGTCACGTGCATAGCTGTCCTGGGTTTTCTGTGCTCTCCTGAGAAAACAGGACAGTGGTTGAATAAAATAAACTACTGATGCAAACATTTTTCATTATAATTGCACTGTTATGACACTTAGCAAAAGCAAGAGGGGACATAATTTGGGCAAAAAGTTGAAGCTTACTCTTCAAGGCTCCTTTCTGTGTCCAAACTGCATAGCATGGTGTGCTCAGAATCCTGCCCCAGATAACCATTCCAGTTTGGTCTTGCCCCAGTAGTTTCTACTTGTAATTTCTACTGTTGGTCATTGGTTCTTGAGGACTCAGTTTAGATACCACTTCTCCAGGCAGGTTGGCCTTCTCAGTCCCCTCAGCTCCCTCCAAATGGCTGAGTGTCCCTCCTGTGTGCTCAGCAACTACAGCCCGTATCACATTTTTCATTATTTGCTTGTCTGCTCAAGACTAAGCTCCTATGGGAAAATGTTTTAATTATCATTGTATCTTCAGAGTTTACAAGTGCTGATACCTAGAAGGCATAAATAACTTCTGTATTGAACTGCTGATGACTTTTACATAGATCAGGCAACGTTTAGTCACAGCACTCACCCATGTCAGATAAAACGTTTTGCAAATATTGACTCAATACAACAACCCTATAACCTAAGTACTAGTTTAATCTCCACAGATGATCAAAGATTATGGAACTTACCCAAGGTCACAGCTGGTAAAATTGACCTGGGATTCTAACCCAGGTAGTGCCCTCCAGTCTATGCTCTTAACCCCTCCCTGCTCTATGCATATAAAACCACCTTCCCTATGTGTGGTAGGTAGAGCAATTAGTTTGTTTCTCAAGACTGTGCTGGGTCTGTAAGGAACTAGTAGAACAAAAATTCTAATACTGCCATTTCCCCACATTGAGTATTCCATTATATAATCAGATGGTATTTAAGAGAGTAGGAAAATTGATAGTGCATTCTTATCCAACAGCAGCTGCACAAACTTCCCCAAGTTTCAATTGTAAAACATGACAAAAGGGTTTATGACACTAATATGCAAAGAATTCATTTCAGTGAGAAAAAAAGTCAACTTTAAAAATGGGCACTGAATGAGTAGTCAACTATTCTGATGGGTCTGTTCACCCATCAGATTGTTCAAGTTCAAAGACAGTTTGAGAGGAGAGGGAATTGATCTCACGCTGTTAGCACAAGTTTACCGTCCTTGAGAGCGAGTTGGCAGTGCTTATTACATTTAAAATGCACATAGTTTATCGTCGATTCCACTTCTGATAGTCTAAAGAAGTACTCATACAATTGTGCAAAGACTGGTCCAAGGATGCTCATTCAAGATATTGTGACATTTCAGAGCAATGAAGGTAAAGACCTAAAAGCTTGCAGAAAAAAATGTCACAAGGTTCAGAAATCAAAATGGCTTCAAGCCAAGGAGAGGAGGACCCAGGAAATTGATCCCGCCAGCACCCTGATCTCGACCTTCCAGCCTCCAGAACTAAGAAGATAAATCNCTAAACAGATCAAAAATGAGGTGGCTACGCTCACAGCAGAAGGGAAAGAAGTTAAGATTGTCGGAATTGGTGATAAAATCAGGGGTATACTTCATAGGTAATTTAACATGGTTTATGTTTAAAAGGGTGCCAGCATGAATAAATGGAAGTTTCTTTGATAGTTTATTTAAGCAAGGTGCCCTATTTTTGGTTATCTATTTTATACTCAGAGGTGTTTTTTTTTTTTCCCAGAGCACATTAGAATATATAGATGTCCTCTATTCTCTACTTGTCTTTTGTTTCTTCATCCAAACTATACATGGGATGTGGTAGGAATATCACAAGCTACTGACATTTTAAAAAATGAGAACTGAACTCTGAGGAGCTGTCATAGCCTGGGAATGTGCAAAATAAACAATAGTTGATTAGGATTGGAAGGAGAAGGATAACAGCATAGAGAAATAGAAAACAAGAAAAGCCTGATGACTGGGCCTTAGTTTGTTGCAGGTGCTGAAGGAAGGGGATCACTATAAGTGGGTGGAACAACTTAATTCAGTCACCACCCCCACCAAAAAAAAAAAAATGAATCCATAGCAATGCTATTTCTTGCTCCCTGTTTCTTAGCAGAAGTATTCTGTGACACTGTTTTACGTGACCTCTGATTTTTCTCTTAGGACTCATTCTGACCAGTTCCTGGTGACATTCAAAGAAGTGGGAAGAAAACCCCCTACTTTTGGAGATGCGTCAGTCATTGCCCTGGAATTATTAAATTCTGGATATGAATTTGACGAAGGATCTATTGTCTTTAATCGATTCAGGCAAGAAAATTTTAGAAATCAAAGTTTTATGTTTATGTTGCTATTTTAAAATAAATGTCTACTTCACAGTTTAAAAGGCATTAGTTTGAAATTTACTTTTGCTTTTGTCATTTCTAGGTCTGTCATCTCCTACAAGACAGACGAAAAACCCATCTTTTCCCTTAATACCATTGCAAGTGCTGGTAAGTAGTTTTTGTATGGCAAGTATTTTTCCATGTAGAAAGGAGAGATTTGGACATTTAGGAAAATGGTATTTGTCAGGATGGCCTGTTTCAGTGGTAAACAAAATGCCATTGGGCCGTTTCCATCACCACCTGTTAATGGCTTCCATGATGTTTTAATTCATGCATGGTTTGTCGACTTACTCCATTCCTTCATTAATTTAACAAATAAGTATCTATTGAGGGCCGGCATCACTTAGGTTTTCTGTCTTCAGGGACTGAAGAGCCCAGCTAGAAATTAGCTTTGCAGTCTGTATATGTGAAGTGTACCCAACTGCCATACAGTTGGAAGCTCTAGAGCAGAGATGTGAACAGTGTTCACAGCTCATTTACATTGACCCAGTCAGTTCTCCTGTTTTATTGTTTGAATAAAGTCACCATTGCTCAGGGAAGCATCTAGAAGTAATATTCTGGGCCCAATTTTATTTTCCTAAGGCATTTTCCCCTTCTGTATATCATATTTCATCTAAGATGCACACTCTTACATTTTTAACATGCCTCAAATTGGGGTGCTTTTCCCAGTCAATGGCGTGTCATTATTAATTGGCTATGTTATTTTCTTTTGTAATGGTACATCAAATGTGGGTTAAAATCAATAGCATCTTAAGTTTGATGAAATATAGTATTGTTTTCATGGCTTTACCCAAATGAATGAATTTTGGAGTGTGCTACTAAATTTCTGCAGCATGATTACTGAAGTTCACATCAGCCTCGAATTTTCCCACTCTTCCATGTTCTTAGGAACGTTTTCCCTCTCTGAAGGGTGACTTGACTGACTGATACCAGATTTCTCTAATAATCAAAAGGCTGAATTGGCATTTTTGTATTACTCTCGACTACTTTCAGTACTTTCCTTAATTTCTTTATTGAAAAAAACTATTTTATTGATTGTTTGCTGGCTTTGTGCCAGGCAGTCAGCTATATGCTATCTAGAGGACTTCATAACCATGAAATGTAGAATATAAAGTAAAATATACAATGCTATGCTTACACATTTAAAATCGGTAATGTACAGTGTGGAAATAGATGGAACTCTTAGGACTGAGTCTTTTGACCTATTTACATTTACTTCTGCTCTGTAATTATAAAGGATTTTTATAATAGTAAGCTGTTTTGATTAAATCAGTCTTGTACTGTATAGCTTCAAAGATATTTATCACTTGTTTTAACAGAGAGCATGAGCATCTACGATGATATTGATGCTGACGTGCTGCAGAATTACCAAGAATACAGTCTGGCCAACATCATCTACTATTCTCTCAAGGAATCCACCACGAGTGAGCAGAGCGCCAGGATGACAGCCATGGACAACGCTAGCAAGAATGCTT